ATGGGAAAATGTATTTCTTTTTATTTTCTTTATTATTCATTATTATTATTATTATTATTTTATTTTATCGATTCATTTCATTTTCCCACAATTATGGAAAGGACTTCACGGGGACTGAGAGTTAGCAATAAATATTTTTAATGTTGTCTGCTATAAATTGTTCTCTACAAAACTGTATGGTTGATATTGTATACTTATTTAAATACTTTTGAATGTAGTGCAAAATACTTACTAAGCTAGGGTTAGTCTGGTACAATCCTGATTCATTTAATTCCGAGGATAGTTCGTTTTTTTTATTTTCCAAAATACAGAACAAATTATAATGAAACTAAATTAAATCTTCTAGAAAATGTAACCAAAACATATATTTAAAAAAAAGAAGATTTTAATTTAAAACTCTTATCTCCTTTTTACGAATGTGTAGTCACATCAAAGAAAACTTCATTTTAGTTTGATGAAATCCTAAAGAACGTTACACATTGCTATAGTTTTTCCCTAAATATTTTCTGATATATATAAAAAAATATATATATATATATATATATATATATATATATATATATATATATATATATATATATACTAGCAGTAGAGCCCGGCGTTGCCCGGGGGATGTAATAAAGAGATAGATCAAGTATCGACCATCATAAAGACTGAAAAATAAAATTGACAAAGATTATTGTTTAAGGTTGACGGACACGCATGTCTTAATTAGTTATTTTTTTGTTTTGTTTTGTTTTTTTTTTTGTTTGTTTTTTGTTTTTTTTACGAATTGGTCAAACCCAAACTCAAACAAAAACATTGTTTTCAATCGTTATGAGTCTACCGATTGAATAAAATTTTATTATAAACAATTGTCTCGTAAATGGAATTTTTAAAGCATTCTGGATGTAAAAATAAAGAAAAAAGTGTGCAAGACAATAAGAAACACTACCTGCCAAAAAAAAGTTTTGTTGAAATCGGTTGAAAAATGTAGGAAATCCGATCCCATATATAAACGATCACACACACACACACACACACACACACAACCTGGATTTTATAATAAGTATAACTCGACATTAATAAGTATAACTCGATATGAGTTGTCCCCCTTTCATTAATGCCTCTTAATCGTGTTTTCAAATTGATTTCGTGCAAAAACAATTGTGTTCTTCCAATGTTTGGCGCTGTCAGAACCACCGCAAGGTAATTTTATGTAGTCCTGTGAAGTTTTGTTGAAATCGGTTGAAAAATGTAGAAAATCCGATCCAATATATAAGCGTACAGAGACACACACACACTCACACACACACACACACACACACACACACACACACACACACACACACACAATCTGCGTTTTATAATAAGTAAGATATATATATATATATATATATATATATATATATATATATATATATATATTGCGTATATTTTGGCAACCATGTTTTCATTATGACATGTTTCATTAAATAATTTAGACAAGTTTTGTCTACTTATTTCCAATCAGATCCTCTCATCTACAAGGACAAGTTTCTTGGTATCCTTACTAAAGAAAGAAAATTACAATGTTGGTGCATATTCATTTTATTACGAGTACTTTCGACAATGTCATCACCAGGGTCTTGTTCTTTCTCAGACAAAAATTGTTGTGTTCATCTGAAAATTAAATTTTTACTTCTGAAGTGAAAAACGCTAAGGTTATGTACTGTGCAATTTTAAATTTTTCATCTAGGCACAAGGGAAAATGTCAAGGTAGGTAACCAAGTTATCGTAATGTGTAAATATTTTTAAAAAGAAAAAAAACTTTCAAAAACTATTAGTTAAAACCTAGATATTTTAAACTTTGTGTAAAAATTTTGAAATGTTTTAAATTTAATTTAAATCAAAGACAAAAAAATTTCCGTGAAGCAGATGTGTCTCCGTCACCTACTTTGATCAGAATGATCTTGCCAATGTGACCTGCATCTTCTGGCTTTTTCTCCTTCTATATTTGGGATAGGGGTCATTCCCTTGTTCAATTTTAAATTTAATTTAAATCAAAGGAAAGAATTTCAGTAGGAGAGGATCCACCTTGATCAAAATGAAATATACTTATCTAACTACCCTGCCTAATGTAGTTTCAGAATATATATGGTTATGGGGTCTATCTCCAAAACCCTAGGAGGAGTTCGATGATAAACAGACAGACAGCGGCTACAATATTATTATATATATATATATATATATATATATATATATATATATATATATATATATATATATATATAACGTCATCCACATATATATATATATATATAACAAAAATTTTATGCCACAGCATTTATATATGGTTTTAAATTGAAAACGGAATCTGCAGGTAAATTAGGAGCGCTGATTAAAATAAATTTATTAATAAAAAATAGTAATAAATTATTAATAAATTTATTCAGTTTCGTCATTTTGATTATTGTTGTTCAAGGAATCTTTCTGAAGAAGTGTTGGGCGAAAAAGATTTCTTTAAAAAAAAAAGCGCTCCGTCATTTGTAAAACTATATATATATATATGTGTGTGTGTGTGTGTGTGAGAATGTCCAAGTAAAACTATAATTCCAATGTGCGTAAAATTTTATTTAAAAAGGTCTCAGTACAGAGTAGAGCTAATTTCTAGTGTTGAAACAAAATTGCTATTCTGTAGCGATTTTTAACACGTTTTAATATGCTAATATATATATATATATATATATATATATATATATATATATATATATATATATCGGATATTAGTTACATAATTCAGTGTGCTATTCCCACAAAGTACACGCATTTGTGTTGAAATTCCAGTTTTTTTTTGTTTTGTTTTTTTTGGTTTGGGGTGTGTTTTTTTTGTTTTTGTTTTTTTGATTTTTTTTTTTTTTTGATTTTCCTAAATTATGAAAATAATATCAACCGGACAAAATTGAAGAGCAAAACTTACGAAAAATATCACTTCTATAGCCGATGCGTGCCGTTACCAATTCGACCACGGGAGACCGTGTTGAAAAAAAAGCAGTGTTCAGTTCCCTACTTGAGGAAAGTACATCTGTTGTTGGGACTTCATTTTCATACCCGAAAACGTAGTAAACAACGCTAATATTTTTAAATGTTTTTTTTTTTTAATCCGACATTATTTCTTATTACTCTAAACGTTAGTTTTGGTGGGTACACGTGTCTGAGTTGACATAACTATTTTTTTCTTGAAGAGGTTAAGGTTGTCGTGATTGCGGGTCTGTTCCACAAAGTAACCCTTCGAGGGACATCTCGTCTTATTCTTAAGTTAGTGCTACTAAGCAACAATCCGCTGGGGCTTCAGAATACGCTGAATGCATTTCTGCAAAGGGCGAAGACACCCCCAAAAAATGAAGCGTCCTGGGTAAGGCGATAAACTACATCCAACTGCAAGGCCTCTGATCAGGAGGTTTTGAGCAGCGTGGAACCACCTCTTAATTGCTGGTGTTCCCAGGACCGCACTGACCCGGGGGTGGTAGCACGTTTTAGGGTTCCAGCTATGGGCAAATAGTTAACCCCAAAATGGGATCAAAATACTATGAAAGTGTAAAAATAGATTTTAATTCCATGAATACATTTTTTGTAAAAAATTATTACCAGTAATGAATTTTTGAAGAAAAAATATTAACAACAATACTTTTTGAAGGAAAAAAAAATATTAGCAGTAATACATTTTGGAGGAAAGAAAAGAAATATTAGCAGCAACACATTTTGGAGAAAAGAAAAATATTAGCAGCAATACATTTTGGAAAAAAGAAAAATATTAGCAGCAATACATTTTGGAGAAAAGAAAAATATTAGCAGCAATACATTTTGGAGAAAAGAAAAATATTAGCAGCAATACATTTTGGAGGAAAGAAAAGAAATATTAGCAGCAATACATTTTGGAAAAAATATTAGCAGCAATAAAAATCTTATCGCCATTAAATAACCTATTGAGCTTGATAAGCCGTAAAACAAACCAAACAACTATTAATCACTTGGCATTGGCATTAAAACGAGAACTTTCTATTGTAGACTTAATAATGGGTTGAGTTCGAAATTCCTTGAAGGTTACCTGGATCGATAAGCACCTGAAGTATTGTGATAATTACAACAAAGATGAGGACAATAGTCTGAATTTAAATATTATAAACAGTGAAAATAGTGTTTTATGTTGAAACACCGGTTTCTGTAGGATTACTGAAGCTAAGCAACGTCGAGCCTGGTCAGTACCTACATGGGAAACCGCTTGGTAATCCCAGGTGGTGTAAATGATAATGGCTCAGAATTGGAGATCGGAGAACAGAGCCCCAATTCCAGTTGGGTTCGTTATATTCACTTAAAGCGCAAATACTCTTGGGAAATCCATCACTTCTTCCTCTAGATATGGGTTAAATAGTAAGACTTGTATCACTAAACCATTATTATCTTCTCCCCCCCACCCACACGACAAAATTCTTACCATGTAAAAAATTATTTTCTGGCTTCAAATAACCTGCAATTAGCTGATAAGTCGTAAAAAAACGAATGAATCAAATCATTTTTTTTATTTTCTTAAGCAGTGAAATTGACATCAGACTACCTAGATCAAGTAGTCAGGTTTTTCGTTAGTAGGACTTTTCTATCTAGGCCAGTTGATATCAATTTTATTGTTTAAGACAAAAAAAGATGCCGATGTCAACTCAAACACGTGTTCCCACAAAAAATAATGCTTATTGTAATAAAAAAAATAAGGAGATAAATCACATACCAAACACTGCATTTTTAAATAGTCACATAGTTTGTTTTGTGTGTGTGTGTGTGTGTGTGTGTGTGTGTGTGTGTGTGTGTGTGTGTGTGTGTGTGTGTGTGTGTGTTTTGAGGGATGGGGTTAAGAGCCAGACCGAAGACAGACACTAGTCCTCCAGGTTGTGGGGCTATGCAATAGGCTAACAACCTACATATTAAATAAAAAAAAAAAAAAAATAGCTTGTTACACAGAAACCTCAACGATATCTTCAAACAACGACATGGACGAGGAAAAGTCCTCCAAAGTGGAGCGTATGACGCGTGTCGGTGAAATCCCACCGGAAGCCAGAGAGCCGACAACTCTTCTGACGATTAAGTCAACAACCAGGATAGGGACCTGGAACATCAGAACCCACACAGTTATTAACCACATTTTATTGTCTCGTTGCTCTCCATGTCAGTACAGTTTCATCATTGTTGTCAAAGGAATAGTCGTTTTCCTTATCTTCGATGTCATCATCGTCTATCGAGTCACCTTCTTCCTCAAAAAAATGCGTCATATTCACTGCCATTAAATGCAGCATTAAATGACTTTTCTACAAGGTGGTAGTAGTAGTAGTAAAAGTAGTAGCAGTAGTAAGGTCTACACTAGTTTTATGCCACGACCCATAAATAGACCCTAACTACTGAAATGTGTGCTTCTTTACAATTTGATTCTCCTAAAGTAAGCTGATTTTCTCCGCAAGATTTTTGCATTTTTCCGTGTACAAGTCAGTTCTTTTGCTCTGAAAACTGTATAAATTTTATATCGTCTATGACGTCGGCGATCATGGCTCACCACAGGCTCTTATTTCATTATTATATGTAAATTTCTACGACGTCTTCGAAAAGTTAAGTGGAGTGATTCCCTGTTGCATTCCATACGGCTTGAGATTCAAAGATTTCCTTCTGTTAGGCTGGTTGCTATCCAAGGCTAGAGAACCTTGCCTATTCTGCTTTATAACTAACAGCTGTGGGGGAATATAGATTCATGCCTTTTCTCAAAAGCATTAGTTCGAAAGTGAATGCAACAAACGCGAAAGGATTTTGAACTTGGCTCGCCGATTCCATTTTCTGTGCCGATAACCGTTGCACTAGGCACACATCTAATTACAGTCGTCTGTTGTAAATATCATAGTTCTTAAAATAGTCTTTGTCTTTGCCAGACGAGCCACTGCGAACATGGTAATTTGACAATAAAGATATAATCATTTTTTGTAATGAGCTGTGACACAGCTATCGTGATTGACGGTAGATAGGGCCATAAAACTCGAGTTTTATATCTGCCAGATGAAAAATCCACATGCCGAATTTGTTTTTTTTTTTTCTTTATTTCTTTACTTTTCCTTTTCCTTTTTTTCTTTTTCTTTATTTACTTTCTTTTCTTTTGTTTTGTTTTTTTACTTTTCTTCTTTACGTTTTCCGTATTTTCGTAATTTCTCGCTCTTTTTATTAAATCTTTGTATAGATTTTTCTTCTTTCTACCTTTTTTTTTTGTCATGTCCCTTTCCTCTTTTAATTCATTTTCTTCCATTCTTTTCATCCTCATTTCTTTCCTTGTTTTTTTTCTTCCATTTTCTTCCCTAATTCTTTTGCACATTCTTCGATTGGTCTTTCCTTCTTACTTTCTTTGCTCTGTCGGTTGGGGGATAGAAACCACAAAACAGAGGTCACCTATTGGGTGGATGTTTGCGGACGCGATTATAAACACGACCAATAATTACCTGTACACTCAGACATAAACACAACCAATATTTACAGATATACCCAAAGATAGACACGACGAAAGTTCACCTATAGACCCAAACATAAACGTGACCAATATTTGCCTATCAATCCAAGGTTAAACATGACTAATATTTGCCTATAGATCCAAGTATATACAATGTTTATCTATAGGTTCAAATATAGACACGACGATCAATGTTTAGCTTGGTAAAACCACGGTCTAGGTTTACTTATAGATTCGAGTATAAATACTCAGATTTCTTTATTAAAAGACATTCCAGCATTGATATGTCATAAAACTGAACCCCGCATGATTTCTTTCTTTCTTTCTTTCTTTCTTTCTATATGATTGTATGTTTTTATTTGTCTTGGATATATTTTTTTTACATATTGTTCTTCCTTAACCTGTATAATTGTCAGGGCATCAGCATTTCATATCTCATCGCTTTCTTTCCTTTTCCATTCTCTTTATTTCTTTGATTTTCTTTCATTCCATTGCTTTTTATTCAATTTTTTCTTTCCTTCCTTCGACATTTTCATTCGTTGCTTTCAATGTTTAGTTTCATTTTTTTTCTTTCGTTCGATAATTCTTTACAATACTTTTCTTTCAATAATATCTTTCAATACTTTTTTCAATAATTTCTTTCAATACATTCTTTCATTGCTTTTCTTTCAATGCTTCCCTTTCAATAGTCAATATTTATATCAATACTTTTTAGAAAATGTCTTTAAATACCTTCTTTCAATACTTTCGTTCGATTACTTTTCTGTCAATGCTTTCTTTCAATACTTTTCTTTCAATTCCTCCTTACAGTACTTTCTTTCAATACCTTTCTTTCCATGTTTCTTTCAAACAATGCTACTGTTTGATACTCTCTTTCAATACTTCTCTTCCAATACTTTATTTCAATATTTTCTTTCATTACTTTTCTTTAAATACTTTCTTTCGATACCTTTCTTTCAATATCTTCTTTCAGTACTTCTTTTCCAATACTTTCTTTCAATATTTTCTTTCGGTACTTTTTCGATTCTTTTCTTTCAATACTCCCTCTCAGGACTTTCTTTCAATACTTTTCTTTCGATACTTTCAATACTTCTTTTTCAATGTTTTTATACACTTGTTTCAATGCCTTTCTTCCGGTACTTTCTTTCAATAGTTTCTTTTGATACGTTTCTTCAAATACTTTCTTTCAATACTTTTTCAATACTTTCTTTCGGTACTTTACTTTCGATACTTTCCTTTTGATACTTTCTTCCAGTGCTTTCTTTCAATACTTTACTTTCGATGCTTTTCTTTCACTACTTTCTTTCATTACTTTTTTGTATACTTCAATGCTTTTCTTTCAATACTTTTACTTCAATACTTTCTTTTACTGTGTTCTTTTAATATATTTCTTTCAATACTCTCTTTCAGTACTTTCCTTTCAATACTTTTCTCTCTATACTTTCTTAAAACACTTTCTTTCAATACTTCTGTTTCAGTACTTTCCTTCAATACTTTTCTTTCGATGCGTTCAGTACTTTATCCAATACTCCCTTTCAATACTTTCAATACTTTCTTCTTTATTTTCCTTTCAATACTTTCTTTCTATACTTTTATTTCAGTACTTTCTTACGCTCCATTCATTGAATTTGCTTCATTTTTTTATTTTAGCTTTTTGTTCCCCTTCATCATTCAATATACTTTCTTTCTTTCTTTCTTTCTTTCTTTCTTTCTTTCTTTCTTTCTTGCTCGTTTGCTGCAGTTCAGCTTATGTTATTTATTCATATTTTTTTCTTGCTTTTCGGCATGCTTCTATCGTTCTTTTATTCAGTACTTTCTTCCCTTTCTTTCATTCAACACGTTTCTTTTTTTTCTCGGCATTTTTCTTTCATTTAATCTCTTCCTACTCTCTGTTTCTATCAGTGTTTTGTTTTCTTTCATCTTTTTTCTTTCCCCTTTCTTTTATCTCTCCTGTTCAATCCTTTCGTTCCCTCCTCCTCTTCTTCTTTTTCTTTAACTTTTCCTTCAGTCATCACTTGCGTTAGTCTTTCCCAATTATTTAACCAAGCAGCTTATCAATCAGTCCAACGTCACACTCGCAAAATTTCGTTACTTCTATTTTCTCCATCTTTTTTTTTTATCGCAGGCATTTTCTTTTATCTTGACCCTTGTCATTGCTGACTGTGGGTGTAACACTTTTTGTCGCTACCGTCTGTTGCAGTATGCAAGGTATTTATGGAACAGACTGTGTTTTTTTTGTTGTTTTTTTTCCAAATCCTTACTCAATTTATTTCTGGCCTATCAAAAATAAGAGCATGAACGTGATTAGATATTTAATCAATATGTCTGACATTATGAGGACAGAGCGCAGAGAAAAGTGGATCCCAGCCTTTCCATAGGGTACTAGTGCAATTTGAAGTTGCTACAGACGAAATTAGAATTCAGATTGCCTATTCCCACTTCAACTTTGGTAACTATTACGCCACTTTTAACACCCTGCGACACATGCACAGACACAAACACACACACACATTAACACACACACACAAACACACTAATTGATACTGTGATGGTGATAGGCAAGAAATTCTTGATGATATTATTACTTTTCTAATAATTTTGGAGATCTCAGAGGAAGTGAAGAATTGCGTTTGGCTAAAAGGAACCCTTATTTGTGTAACAGAATCACAGTGACTTAATAAAAAGATTGGCCCACTAAACATGAAGTACAGTTTAAAACCAATTAATCTTCTTGCGAAGCTGGTACGCTTTATTTCTAGCGGTAACTGTTTGAAACTGAAAATAGAACATCACATAAAGAGAACATTTGCCATAATATCAACGAGCTCCAAGAAGCTGTCTGAAAATATGGGTAGAGGTTTACTGTAATTTACCGAAATATACCAGGGAAGGAACCTGTTAAGAAAACATTCAACAATATATACTTATATCTACCGTAATTCCCTATGTATAATACGCATTTTTTTTCTAAAAAGATAATAAGCAAAATTAGGGGTGCGTATTATGCACAACTACAAAAACATCTTCAAAGAATTGCCGTTTCATGGGTTGATTTCAGTTGCGAAATGACTACTCACCACAAACTTACGACAATTTGACACTAACATTCGGCGATTGCGACCCCACAAGGATGTCAAATACAATCATATGTACGTGACAATACTTGCAAATGTAAAATAAAATAAGAATTATTATAAAACTAAATTAGAATAATATTATTCTATGTTTAAAACCATTTTTTGTGAAAAACTACATACAGATCCGGTAGATTGCACATTTTATCGAACAAAAACAGGTTAAGGAGTCTGCACAGTAGGCACAATATAGGTATTTCCGTTTCCTTTTAGAATCGTGATGATCGGAAACTTTGATAAATATCTTCAATTACAGCTTGAATAAGAGTAGGAAACGCTGGCGTCAATGAAATTGGAGAGGTACAATTTATAGAGTTTAATTACCAAACAAGGGGTGCGTATTATGCGCGAGTAGAAGCATTTTCCCACACTTTCAGCACAATTTTAGGGGTACATATTATGGGTGAAAGCGTATTATACATGGAGATTTACGGAATATAAGTTTCATTAATATTTGACTGGATCATAGATAGATAGATAGATAGATAGATCATATACCATTGTGCAAATTAATTGAAACAAAACGAACAATTTCTTTATTATTTACTTCGTATTTTTCCAATGAAACATGATCCAATGCACATGTTAATACTTCGTTTGTCCATTCCACGAAGTCGTTACTTGCAGACTAGCCACAGATTCTCGATTGGGTTTAAATCAAGAGAGTTTCCGGTCCAGTCTATAGTACATTGACTTGCTCATTGGTAGGGCTTGCCAGTGTGTTTGTGCAGTGTTTTCCTTGGAGTAACGTCCATCGCAGACAATGGCTGTAGGACTACTAATCGACAGTCCAGACAATAATGTGTCTGGGCGGGATAAAAATCTGACGCAATCACGACTGACGCAATATTTGTCAGGTCCAAACAAATTTCATCTTACATCCAGAAAATAGATTAATATTACTGTACACTACTGTAAATGACCTAATCTGGGGGGGGGGTGAATAGAAATTGATTACATCCTGTCAATCCTGAAAATCTAAAAGTGACAGAATGCTGAAAGAAAGGAAACAAAAATCAGTTGTTTCAATTAATTTGCACACGGGTGTAGATAGATAGATAGATAGATAGATAGATAGATAGATAGATAGATAGATAGATAAAGTAATGAACAGACATAGACAGATACAAAAAGGGACAAGGGTTGCCTATTACGAGAATATGTAGGAGAGATAACGGTTGATCCATGATTTCAAGAGGTGTAAACGAAGAATGGAAATAAGATCAAAAGAAGACAAGATAATAATGACAATTCTTCATCTAAGACATTCAGACAATTTACAAGGATCTGTTGGAACTGCTCAGCAACCTTGATATATTCTGGAAATATATCAGAATAATCAAGAACCTATACTGGCAGTAAACAGCATGCATACGCATAGGAAACGAGTCCAGTGAATATACAAAAATAGAAAGGGACGTAAGGAAAGATGTGTCTTCTCACTGTTCAACCTATACAGCGAGGCATTTCTGAGAGTAATGGAAATCCTACCGGGATTCAGCAATGGCGGCCACAACATAAGATACGCAGATGACACAGTGCTGATAGCAGACACAGAAAAGAATTTACAAAATCTCCTACAAAACGTAGCAAAAGAGAGCAAGAAAAAGGGACTAAGCATAAACTACAAGAAGACAGAATGCATGGTCATCAATAAAAGGATGAACCGGAAATGCGATTTGCAGGTCGGCGACACTAAAATCAAGCAGGTGCGGAAGTTTAAATATCTGGGAGGCGTTTTAACAGAGAACGGTAAGCGCGTCACTGAGATCCGTAGACGTACTGGGATGGCCAAGGACACATTCCAAAAGCTGAGGAGAGTCTTGCGAGACAGGGGGGGTTCTTTGGTAACAAAGAAAAGAGTACTAAGCTGTTCCGTGACATCTGTCCTTCTTTACGGCAGCGAATGTTGGACGGTCTCCTCAAAGATGAAGAAGAGATTCGAGGCGACAGAAATGTGGTTCTACAGAAGGATGCTGAGGATATCATGGACCGAGCGTGTGAGCAAAGATGAGATTTTGGAGAGGATGCAAACAAGGAGGAAGCTTATACTTAACATCAGGAAGAGGTAACTGAAGTTTCTGGGACACGTAACAAGAAAGGAAGGCTTGGAGAATCTAATACTCACAGGTCGAATAAAGAGAATGAGAGACAAGGGAAAACAACGCATGACGTACCTGACGAGCTTGATCAAGTGGTCTGGAGGAGGTGACAGAGGGACAAAACTTATTGAGAGCTACAAGAGATAGAGTAAGTGGAGAGCCATGATCGCCTAAGTCCTAAAAGGACACGGCACATAAAAAGAAATTAGGCAAAAACAAGCAAGTGAAATACGAACAAGAAAAATATTAATTAAAACATCAATAATTGTTTCGTAATATTTCTATTTTGTCAATTTTTGAAAACTTATTAACACGATCTGTGTACTTATTCTCCAATTCATGATTTTCATCAGGAATGTGTTAATTGTGACTTTTGCTACGTTTTTTGTGTACTTGAATACAGAATGTTAAGAATTCCAAGCATTTATATATAATTACTCATTACTTACCAGATAATTGAAATGTACTTATATTTTATTACTTGCTTGTATACTTTTAGATGATAGTAAATTTTGTAAATAAATTGTTTGCAGTTTCAGCAATACGTCTAGTGTGATGTGCCTGTATTTCAAGTGACCAGCACACCCTTGCGCACAGGTATACATACGCACACACAGGCAGATAAACACACACGCGTACAGACAAATATAGAGGCACAAACCAACACACGAAATGTATAAATTCATACATACATCGATACATGCACAAATATCTGATGTGGAAAATAATACATAAAATTATTATTATCAATATTATTATTAACATTTTGTCGAATTGTATGTATTTTTCCATATTAAATATTTGTATATTCATGAATTTATTTATACATGTGTTTGTCTGCGTGTGTCTTTTCTTCCACCATATTCACCACCTCCAAGAAGAAGAAGACGTGGAGAGTAAATTGGAAGAAAAGAGGCAGTTGGAAAAAAAGGAAGTGATAGCTTCTTCTTCTTCTTCTTCTTCTCCTCCTCCTCCTCCTCCTCCTCCTCCTTCTTCTTCTTCACTCTCTCGTTCTCTTCCTCTTCTTCTTGTGTGTCATGGTGTCCTTTTTATTCTTTCTCTGCATAACTTTTAAAACTCCACACCCTTATAAAGTTTTTTTTCTTCACCATTACTTCCACATACTTTTGGCCTTTTTCCAATTTTTTTCAACTTATTTTTATGCATTTATTTATTTATTTACTTCTATTTTCGAGTTTCTTTCTTCTGCCGACATTATAATCTTTACACCTTCACTCCTTTTCGTTAGAGACTCGTTTTCGTTCATTTTATTTTGTTCTCCCTGCCACTCTTCTCTTCCTTCGACCTCCTACTTAAAACCTCCTTCTCTCTCTGACCACGTCTATAATTACACTTTTGCATTTGGAATGAAAGTACTTAACTTCTCGCAACGCATGACCTTAAAGGCTACAATTACTTCTTTAACGTTTTCCCATCCGTTTCAGCTAAGCTTGTGCTTCCAAAATTACTCAGTGTTGGATCAGAGTTAATAGCCCAAAAAGAAACATGAGACATTACTCGCATTCATGGCATTTCAACCCAGAATTTGTCTATTTGTTCTCCTTTCTTTTGCTTTTTATTCTCATTGCAGAGAAAATCAGGAGAAAATCAGCTGCTTTTTGAATGACCCACATTACTTGGCTTCATGCTAACGAAAATAAAGCGATTGCTTGCAAAGCAAGTTTTAAGCAAAAGAGAACCCCACGTTCAGTATCGCCGAGTTTGTTTTTTTTTTGCTCTGTTAGTCAACATTACACACG